GAGAGAGAGAGAGAGAGAGAGAGAGAGAGAGAGAGAGAGAGAGAGAGAGCAGGTGTGCATCATATTTGTTGCCAATGCATGCAATGCCATGCATCCACTTCTGTGCATAGGTATGTGTCTATGTAGGTGTGCGGCTGTGTAATGTGGATGTATGTTTTCGTGCCTTTGTTGCACAGTGCACATGTGATTTTTTTTGGTGCTGATAGCATGTTTCCTTTGTGTGGTTGATTGTGACCCTGTGACACATACATGTGTGGCTCGGCCAAAAATGATGACGGCTTGTTATCAATGAAACAGGCGTGGTTTCAAAGGGATGAATTGACTGCACTGTATAGGAAGCGTTATGGGGAGAGAATCTCAGATTCAATCAAGGCGCATCTTGGACAAACCCTTTTCACCGATGCTCTTCGTTGGTGCTTCGAGATAGCCCCGCGGAGAGATGCTGAGTGGCTTTACAAGGCAATGGAGGGTCTTGGCAGCGACGCAAAGATAATGTGTGAAATCATTTGCTCGCGAAATTCACGACAGCTGGAAACAATCAAGATTGCCTACAAAGAGCTTTACGGCACAGACCTCGTCAAGGATGTCGAGAGTGAGTCGTATGGCTCGTTCCAGAAATTCCTGATCAAACTTCTGACAGTTCCTCGGATGAATGAACCTGCCGACGAGACGCGTGCAATGGAGCTTGCCAAGGATCTATACGATGCTGCAGGTGGGCGGTGGTTTACAGACAAGGACAAGGACAAATTCATCGAGGTGTTTACCACAGAGAGCAAGCCGCAGATTGCTGCAGTATATTCCCTGTACAAATCCAAGTTCGGTTCCGATCTTATCTGTACTATTGAAGCAAAATTCAAAGCCAAGCTCAAAGAAGCTCTCGTCTTTCTATGCCGATGGATCCTATGGCCAGCAGAGCTCTTTGCAGATGAAGTAAATAAGGCGATTGGCACCGATCAGAAGGCGCTGATTCGACTAATCTTGGCCCGAGGCGAAATGGATCTGGAAAACATCAAGCAAGCATTCGAGAAGAAATACAAGAAACCGCTTGCTGAGAGGATTGCCGAAGTTCAGGGAGGGTCTGACCTTTTTTCATTGCTGTTGTTGTCTTCGCTAAACTAAACGACCATTGTCGCGCCTGTCTTCGTGCCGTGTTTTTTTTTTGCCTGCTCATTCTTGTCCTGTAAGATACCTCGCATAGGGCTCATGTATAGCTTCTTTCTATAGTTGTTGCCCCTAGCACCAAGCTTAACACTCCGTCTGCGCCCTCCCTCCCTCTCTCCGTTCTTTCAATTGCCTGTGCCTGCATATCCGGCACCGACCTACATACAAATATCCCGACACTGAGCCTCTTCATTTCTCTTCATTTTTGCCACGATCATCTTTAAGTTATAGGTCCGGCTACTTGCCAACCTCTGAGCGCTTCTCCGTTAGAGAACAATCCGATATTATTCCGTACCTAAAGTTACGGACGAGGGGTAACGATGCATTGGGAGTGACGGAAGTGACCCCTTCCTATCGTACTACTGTGCATTGGGAGGGACCCCTTCCTATCATACTACTGTGCATTGGGAGTGACCCCTTCCTATCATACTACTGTGCATTGGGAGTGACCGGACCCCTTCCTATCATTGAGTGACAAATAGACTGCTTCACTACAGTTAGAGATGGCTACCCACTGACTTGGGATGCCATCACCAGTTTTCCTGTCCACCAATATCATACATTGTTCGGGTAACCGATCAATCTGAGCGCAATCTGAGCACTTCAGAATCTCCGGTCGAAACTACTAGTCCAATATAATTATGAAGTGGCAGATAACCTCTATTTCATGAAGCCTTAGGTTGCCTATGGCTATAGCCCTCGACCCTCCAATGCCTCCATGCATCCTCTACTGAATGGCTGCTTAGAAGGATTGTTTTCCTGTCCACCGATATCGTACATTGGTCGGGTAACCGATCAATCTGAGCGCAATCTGAGCGCTTCTCCGATTGAAACTACTAGTAGAATATAATTATGAAGTGGCAGATAACCTCTACTTCATGAAGCCTTCGGTTGCCTATGGCTATAGCCCTAGACCTAACCTCTACTTCATGAAGCCTTCGGTTGCCTATGGCTATAGCCCTAGACCCTCCATGCATCCTGCACTGAATGGCTGCTTAGAAGGATTCAAAGGGGATCATGATGGCGATAGCCTAAGTGCTTAAGTTATAGGAAAGTCGCCGCCTGCATTCCTTTTTAAGTGCCACTGCAGAGACTCTGAGTCGGAGACTAGCTTGCTCTTTTTATGGATGGATAGTGTGCATCCATCAAGCCAATGACTTGATGGCATACTTGCAAGCAGACGGACCGGACGAGCGTCCAGTCCGGCCGCTTTGCCGCGTGCGGCACCCTCCCCCCGGACCGGACCGGACGGGGGCGGTTTTTTTTTTTTTGGGGGGGGGGGGGGGGCGTAACTGTTCGTCAGGCACACATTCCTGCGCCGCGGGTCCGGTCCGGCGGTCTGCTGCACGTGCGGAGCCGCCCAGACGGCGTCCGCTTGCAAGTATGCTTGATGGGCAGGAACTTTTTACCTCAGGGATCAGCCAGAGGGACTTCGGAGTTTGAAACTGTAGGGCTGACATTTAAATTGCAGTGGATGGATCTATTCGTTCCACTGCGGATCGATCCTATCCAGTAGTTGTATGTTTTGCCTTGAGCTGACATGGTTCCTCATGGCGGCTGCGGTTCCTTAGGCGGGAACCACAATGTCATAGGGAGTATTCTGCTCTCTTATGCACTAGAGTTCCCATCCTATGTGAAATTCATTTTTGTATGCAAGTAATAAATAAAAAGTTTAGTTATTATTCTGAAGAACTGCAGAGACACTTGCTTCATTTTCTTGGGGAGATGACTTTGGGGGGGCAGGGAACACACATGCAGATGCACACGCACACACAGACAGAAAAGATGCAGAGAGAGAGAGAGAGAGAGAGAGAGAGAGA